TATCTGAGAGATTGAACAATACAGTTCAAGGATCTTCAGGGGGTAAAGTGTTGAATATCCAGAACCTGCTGTGGAAGAGATCGAAAGACCCTTTTGCCTCAGAGGCAGACTAATTGAACGCGAGAGATGGTTTGACTCTGTTTCCTGTGGAGCTACACTTGGCGAAAATGATGTACATGGAGGAGTCAATTGATCATTTGCCCCACATTTTGCTCTGCCTCGGCCAATATGCCCCATCTACATTGCAATTGCTAAAATGCCCCATTTTTGCTATGGCACTTGACAAAAATAACCCACACTGCAAGTAAACACATATTTTTAGTTAACTACTTAGTGTCATTTTCATCAAATTTTCACCATTAATTAACATGCCTAACTAACAACTAAGAAAAAATAACTAAGTAATCCTAGCTCATAGTTAAGTGTTTAAATATGCCATCTTAGTTAGATCAATGCATAGATCATTACTTTGTCGTATTCATGCATGTTTGCATCGACTAAAATGGTATGGCTTACACCTTAGTTAACTTTTCTTTCGTTATGGAATAATTGGAAATGTCTATATGATGTTGAGTAAATAGGCAATTTTTGATTAGTTTAATCAAAGAATAAATCAATAGCATGGCATTGACAGAAATAAACACATGCTGATATTCGATCATGCAAGTACACACTACACTAATCGGTTGGTCAAAAGCAATTAAATTTCCCTGAATGATAGTCATATTAGTTTTTATTTTTGAGATTTTTAAACAATTTTGGCCAAAATTTAACTAAAAATTAAAAAATCTATAAATCTCTACTCCAAATTTGATGACAATTTACGAGATTACTAGAAACAATACGGTTGCCGTTGTGTAAAAAATCATAAATTTCTAGACACTTTTTTTGGGTCAATTTTTTGGCTAAAAATGAAAAATCGGCTTTAGATTGAGAGGATTGAGAGATTCATCGATTTTTCATTTTCAACCAAAATTTGGAACCAAACAAAAGTGTAGAAAAAAAATGAAAAATCTCTCTAAAATGAACACCAATATGATGATCAGTCTGGGGAAGTTTCACTATTTTTGACAACCCAACTAAAAATTACAACAAAAATACCAATTCAACCCCTACTTGGCATGCCCAGTCAGCGCCCAGTTAGCATTGACTCTAATCAAATCCAGTTTACTTGGTCCAAACCGAGACCTGGGTTGTGTTTTTGAAAACCTTGTGGTAAGCTGATGGTGTATTTTATCCGGTTTCGAAGTTGAAGATTGTATCTGAACCAAGTGATCAGTTTGAGGTTGAAATATGCACTTTTATCTTTCTTTTAGAGCGATGGGTTGCTGAGTCTTAGCAAAATGGATTAGCTCTCCGGTCCAACAAAAATGCTCATGTTCCACGCTCAACGCCCGGAAAAAGCGAGGTAACACACACGTTGTTAATACATAAAGCCCGATAAGCAAGTCATGGGTTGATACACAAACAAGATCCCAATAGCGGGAGATTAGAGATTCATACGAGAAAACATAAGTAAACGGCCTTCTGCCAGAGCTTCCAAGATAAAGATAGATGAACAATCATTTGATCTCCATCAAAGTCTGCATTGAAACCCTTACACACTAATGGGTGTAAAGAAATTGTACACCCCTCTACTAAAGTGGGTTGAAGGATCTGTATGCCTAATCTATGCAGCATAGGTGCTCCATTTAACTGAACAAGATGTCCCCGCATCATTTCTTGAATTATTTCCCGTACAATGGCCCACTACTAGTTTGGGTGTAAAAAAGAAAAGAAAATATCCACACGAATTTCAACATAAGATCAATGATATGGACTTAGATGTGCAATACTTATGGCACATCTGGATGTGCTTTAGCAAAACTGAATTTTATATTAAACCACACACAGTAGGCAATTCCTATTTCGCGTTTCAGCCCCCGTTACAGTATAAACTGCAAACGGGCGCACAGCCCCTGCTTCGCTCTGGGCTGTCCCATTTTTGTTATATTATTTTTCCCGTTTAAACTCCCAAAAAGGTGCTGGCTGGCGATGGGATCGAACTACCGATCACATCGTTCGAAGGGAAGTGCAGCAACCACAAGGCCACTCACCCTCTTACGAACATGTACTTTGTTTTTTTCTTCAGTTTGGTTTGTTCTTTTTCTTTTTTTCTTGTCCTTTTTTTGTTTACTTTAATAATGCATGTTCTTTTTTAAATTACTGTTTTTTCTTCAAAATTGATGATTTTTAAAATTAGATGATCTTTTTTTTCAAAATGCATGTATTTTTTAAAATTTTATGAAACCTATCAACATGGGATCTAGTTTTGAAGATCTCGACGCGAGGAATCCAACGGTAAAAGCGGTTCGAGATTTGGACGCACGATTTAAAAAATAAAACTTTTTGAATAAACGATGAAAAAAGGGAAAATTCTCAAGTTGCGACAAATGGCGCACTGCATATGCGCCACTTATCACAACCAAGGGAATTGGAGTATTCTTTGCAACGAGTACACCTCAATTACTGATTTCTGGATCAAACAGCTTGAGCGAGCGACCAGACGAGGCGAACGGTGAAGCGATCGAGCCCTTGCCACATGGGCCGGCCCACAAGCAGGCGGCTGCAAGCGTCATGGGAGTTATTTCCTGCTTCCGTCTCACCCTAGGAGCAATTCGGGTTCCGCGGGGGCCGTTTTCTTCCGTTTTCTTTTATTCTTTTATTATGCGTGTTTCCTGTCTTGGTTTTTTATGTTTTTTCTTGCCAATTTTATTTTTTGTGTTTCTTTATAAGTTTTCTTCGTTTTATCCTTTTATTTTTATTTTTTAGTTTTCCTTTTTATTTTCATCTTTTTCAACATATGTCTATTTTTCAGTACACGTTGTACAATTTTCTTAAACACATGTAGCATTTTTTATACATGTTAAACTTTTCTCAAAGACATGCTTTAGATTTTTTTATGAATACAAGTTTTTTTTTCAAATATACATTGAACTTTTATTAATGTCACACAACATTTTTTTTAATCAACATGAACTTTTTTGTACATTGTATTAACATTTTAGAAAAATTCACAAACTCTTTTTTGGGAACGGGTGAAGATTTTTTTAAATATCATGTTAATTTTTCTGAATGTTAGGATATTTTTTTGAATTACTTCAGCATTTTATTTACATTGTGTAACATGTTTCGAAAATTCCACAACCTTTTTTCTTTAAATATCATACATTTTTTAATTATACTGTTTTTACATCGTATAATTTTTTTCAAAGATGCCACATACATTTTCTTGAACTCGTGAACATCTTTCAATTGTCATGAGCAGTTTTTTTAATGCAATCAACTTTTTTTTGACAATTACGCAATATTTTTAAGAATATGTCCAAATTTATGGTGGAAATTTTAATTTTTTTAATTCAATCAGGTTTTGGGAATATATAAAATAAATAAAAAATGAACGAAAACTAGTGCAGGTGCCTACGTCCATGCCTATGTGAGCATGTGTGATCATGGACTAACCCATTTTGATTTTTTTCTGAATTACAAAATATTTCCAAATTTAAAATAATTTCTTAAATATTAAAAACAGCATATTTTTCAAATGCATGATTAAAAAAACGAATTAAAACATATTTACTCAAATATTGTAGGCGGTTATAAACGCGGAAGCCAAAATTTGAAAACAAGCTTCTCTGCAACAACCACAATGCATGTGGGGAGAGGATGCGAGGGAGGCGTGTAATGCGCAGTGAAGCACATTTCGATGGTTTGGATGCAGCGCATCATACGGCTGGCGAGCCGACCGAATCTTCCCCCAACTCGCTCGATTACAAAAAAAGATGTTTTCATCTAAAAAAGTACGTAATTGGAAACCGTTAACGGATGTGCTTTTTTCTCCCTCGGTGATAATCATCAACTCATCAATCTTGCGACTGCCTCAAAAAAAAAAACCCAATCTAGTGAGTAAGCTCAATTTTAGTCTTTATTATGCTCATTTTCGGCAGACGGGTGCACGGCACAACTGCACTGACATCCAGGGCCCGCAGGCCGATTGTGAGCGATGATCTCCCAATAGAGCGAGTGCCACTGCGCCGCGGCCGCGCGCTTAAGATCAATCACCTCTCCGTCCGTAGAGCCGATCGAAGCAAGCGAGCGAGGCACCCGTGTTCGCTTCGCCGAGGAAGGGCGGAGCGGGAGAGGCGGGCGGGCCGGAGGGGCGCGCGCGCGGCGGCGGGGGCGGAGATGGCGGACGGCCACCTCTTCAACAACATTCTCCTCGGGGGCCGCACCGGCACGGTGAGCGCCTCCCTCCGTTCCCCCTTCCCTCTTCCTCCCGCGCGCCCCTGCTTCAATGCCCTAGGGTTTCGCGAGATTCCGTCGCCGCTGGCAGAGTTCTGAGGAGCCGGAGGTCGCGGCCGAGCGGATGGCCTTGTAGCTTGCTTCGGTGATTGATCGCGGGCGCGCATTGTGCGGATTCTAGGGTTTTCGCGTCGTACGGGGATGCATTTGCGCTCTGTTTTGTTGCGCTGCTAAGTTGGGTTGTTGAGGCGAGTGCTTGGTAGGAGACGCCTTCTCCTCTGAATTGCTTGGTTTCCTGATCCTGCCCGATCTCTGTCGAGGGTTTTAGGGAAATCTCAGGTTTCTGTCGGCGCTGCTGCTGCTGCAGCGAATTGGGACTTTTAGTACCATCGGGAGTTGGCAGGATTGCTCCCAAACCTGAGACCCTGTTGTGGGATTTGTCGAATTAGGCATGAGCTTCTGATCTGCAAATGATTTAGCATGTCGTGTACTTACTGCAAATTAGAAAGTGTGTTTCACTTTTTTCATGCTTCAGACTTTCAGAGTCGATGTTTGCCATGGCTGCAAATGTTTCTTCTGATGTACAGCGTACTTATCTGAACTATGTACACTTAAGCTTTCTCTGACCCTTGACTTTCAATGCTTGCACCAGTCATCACTCTTCAATGCGTCTTTGATAATCTTCATGTAGAGTTATGTCGTACCACCTTTAGTACTTAATGACTTTGAGGCTGCAAGTTATGACTTCCTTCTTTTACTCTTTGAAGATGTTCACTGGTGTTTATGACTATTATTTGATTAATTATTGTTTCAGTACATCGAGAATCTTGTCATGTTTCATTACTCTTGCTCCTGTACAGAATCTTGGTCAGTTTAAAGTGCACTCTGGAGGGCTCGCATGGAAGAGACAAGGTGGAGGAAAGACAATTGAGATCGATAAAGCTGATTTAACTTCTGTGACATGGATGAAAGTCCCCAGGGCATATCAGCTTGGAGTCAGAATCAAAGATGGCCTGTCCTACACATTTATTGGCTTCCGCGAACAGGTTATTAATTGCCGTATCACTCTTTCCCCCCTTTTTAATAACTGAGTAATGACATGCTAGATCTGATGTGAAGAGGCTGCTTGAAACGTGATAAATGTTTGCGGTATGATCTATGACTATCTGAGCACAATATTAGGAATTGTTTTAGCAGAATTTTGGATCCTGATGCTCACTACTTTGCTAAACCTACAAGATTAAAAGTAGAACTAACATTTGTAGCACCATCAACACTCATGAAGACATGGATTTTCCCTTCTTGATTTGCTGTATTGCAGTCATGTTATTGTAACATACATTGTATATGTTTGTATGGCTGAAAATTATGTTCATGATGAACATGTTGGTTTTCCCAAACCAGGTATATGTAACATTAGTAATCTATATTCTGCTATTTGATATGTTTATTGTATGAACTCGCCATATGTTTCTTACCAGACCTGCGGTTGAGACATCCTAGTCTGTATCATGTGATCTGTATTTGAATCAGGATGAAGTTGCAAACTGGTTGCTATGTTCCTTTGTATCATATATGGTGTAACTGAATTTGTCTCGCAGAATTGATTATCTTCTGTGTGAAGGATACATTATGTGTATGTGAACCTTCAGGAAATATTGAAGGAACAGTTTACGCAATAGCACTTGTGTAATCTATGCAAGACGCTGTCTTAATCATGCTATCACCATGAAAAGTGTCTGGATACTCTATTGAGATGTATCTCACTCGAGCCTTCCAGTTTTTCACTACTATTCTATAGTGGATTCGCACGTTGTTATTGTTCTCTGGTGGAATTACCATAAGATGCGTCTCAACATTAGACTAACCATCCAGTTTGCCTTAGACAAGCGGGATTTCCCCCCCAGAATATTGGCAGTCAACTCTATGAGTATGAACTTGCTAGCAACAATGAGTGCTGAGGTCAGTGTATTCTGCTGATGCAATGTTCATCATGAACTTCCTTTCATAGGATGTAAGCAGCCTGATCAATTTCATGCAAAAGAATTTGGGCATCTCACCAGATGAAAAGCAGTTATCTGTTGGTGGTCACAACTGGGGAGGGATTGGCATAGTTGGTAAGCTCCTTGACCTTTAATTTCTGTAAATAATATTCAGTTTTAATTATATTTTGAGCCACACTTTCTATTATAGGAAGCATGCTTACCTTTATGGTTGAATCGAAGCAAGCATTTGAAGTTTCTCTAGCAGACGTCTCACAGACCCAGATACAAGGCAAAACAGATGTTCTCTTGGAGTTCCATGTTGATGATACTACTGGTGCTAATGAGGTTTGTAGCGTATCCACTCACTCTTTCTATCATGTGTTGTTTATGGTATTAGTTAGCACTTATTCCTCATGCACAAGTTGGAATTTGATTTTGAATTATAATCTCCTGTGGTTGTAGAAAGACTCGCTCATGGATATGAGTTTTCATGTACCCACGTCAAATACTCAATTTCCTGGAAACGAGAATCGTACTTCAGCTCAGGTGACGCGATATGCAACATGAAGCACGTTGAAATGTGAAATGCTGACTATTGTGGAATCTTCTTATTTTGATTTTCCTTTTTGTAGATACTGTGGGAGGCAATACTTGCTAGGGCTGATAATGGTTCCGGCTCTTCTGGAGAGGCAGTTGTCACCTTTGAAGGAATAGCTATTCTTACACCAAGGTGGGATATATGGATAATTGATCGTATTGGAAACTCAAGCTGACCTCTTTATGATTATCTTCTCTATGTTTACCTCCCAAAACTAACAGATCTTTGGCAATGCAGAGGACGATACGCCGTTGAGCTTCATCTTCCATTTCTGCGCCTTCAAGGACAAGCTAATGATTTTAAAATCCAATATAGCAGCATTCTTCGCCTCTTTGTTTTGCCAAAGGTTATGTTTGTTCTCTATTTTATGGCGTGCACAGCTTTGATGTTGTTCATATTGTTGATGCTAGACATGAAAATAGTTGTCTCGTGCGATTGTGATTTGCAGTCAAACAACCCTCATACAATTGTGGTTGTCACTCTTGATCCGCCAATCCGTAAAGGACAAACGCTATATCCTCACATTGTCATTCAGGTGATGTGCTGCAAATTTTGTTTGTGATGTTTGGATGTTATGCTATGTTATGTTTTGGCTACTTGATTGTTTGACTGTTTCTCTTATTCTCTGACAGTTTGAGACGGATACAGTAGTTCAAAAAAACATGAAATTAAGCAGAGAGTTGCTTGATGAAAAATACAAGGATAGGCTAGTGGAATCTTATCAGGTGAAAGTTTTGTTACTTTGATAAAATATACTCTTTTGCTTTTGTTTGTTCAGTTAAAATGGAATCGCTAATCTGTCTTCTAAGATGAAATCATAAACTATGCATGAGAACTGCTCATGGCAAGTATGTTGTTTTAGTACTAAAAACTCCACCTAGATGTATGCTGAGATAGAAAGAGCTGCTTCAATAATCCGACCTTGAATTGAAGCTGAGTCTTAAATTAGTCCAAGCAGGCAACTCTTTTGTTTCGAAAAGAATGTCATTTGAGTAACAAATTATATACTCCCTCCGCCCGGAAATACTTGTCATCAAGATGAATAAAAGGGGATGTATCTAGACATATTTTAGTTCTAGATACATCCCTTTTTATCCATTTTGATGACAAATATTTTCGGACGGAGGGAGTATAAAATTAACACTACATGGTTTTCGGACAGATCATATGGTCATATCTTCCTAATGGTGCTCCCACCAACTACCAAGTTAGATGTAGAGACAAATTTGGTGGGCATGGATGTCACACAATATTAGGTCTCAGTGGGAGGGTTATTTGCACATAATTGCATTACTTTCAATTCAACCTGTACATTTTATAGAAGGTTCTGTTGTAGAGTGATGTTTGATTTTCAAAACTAATTTGCAGTTCTTACTTCACGTATTCTCCTTTATTAGCAGTTATGACATATTCTCCTTTATTAGTAGTTATGTTGTTCTGTTAATTACCTGTCATGACAAATTAACTTACACGGAGTGTTCAATCTATCCATAGGGTCTAGTACATGAGGTATTCGTCAAAGTCCTCCGCGGTCTTTCTGGTGCTAAAGTCACAAGGCCGGGTTCTTTCAGAAATTACAAAAATGGATATGCAGTTAAATCATCACTCAAAGCTGAAGATGGACTGTTGTATCCACTTGAAAAGGGTTTCTTCTTTCTGCCAAAGCCCCCTACACTCATTTTAGATGAAGAGGTGTTACTTTTTCCATAGACTATAAACTAATTTTCATCCGTTCATGCATTACTGAAACAGTGTATCATAGTCCAACCGTTGGAATTTTAATCACAATGCCCATTTACTACTATACTATTTATTGTAGATTGAGTTTGTTGAATTTGAACGGCATGGTGCTGGTGGCGCCAGTATGTCATCTCAGTATTTTGACCTCCTGGTCAAGCTAAAAAATGACCAAGAGCATCTCTTCAGAAATATTCAGAGGAGTGAATACCGTAACCTCTTCAACTTTATCAAGTACGTGCCTTTCTGTTGGCTTCATCACCCCTCTTGTTAAATTTATACATAAGACTTATGCGTGTTTTTCACTTTCTTCTGGTAAATTTCAAGTGGAAAGGGCTTGAAACTAATGAACCTTGGAGATGGTCAAGGTACAAGTGGTGTCACAGATGTTCTACAGGACACTGATGATGTTGCTCCTGATCCACACCTAGAGAGAATAAAAAATCAGGCCGCGAGTAGTGAGGACAGTGATGAAGAGGTACGTTGCCTTTTGTTGGCTTGTTCCTTGGTGCTGACTTGTGAATCTTATTACTAAGCCATTGTATATACTTGTCCTTTACCATTTCATGCCAGGATGAAGATTTTGTTCTGCATAAGGATGATGGCGGATCTCCTACTGATGATTCTGGTGGTGAGGAATCAGATGCTAGTGAAAGTGGTGGCGGAAAACAGGTTGTTAGATTTCTTATTTTCTGTAGCAAGTCTGAAGTGTGAAGTCAACTCTGCTAATGATCTCTTGGTGTTTATTTATTTTTCCTAATCTCCAAAAGTCATCCAAAATGGAAGCCCGTAGTTCAAAGCCACCTGTGAAAAGGAAGCCTAAGGGCAAGGATGGCGAAGGTTCAGGGAAAAGGAAGCCTAAGGGCATGGATGGCGAAGGTTCAGAGAAGAGGAAACCAAAGAAGAAGAAAGATCCTAACGCCCCCAAAAGACCAATGATGCCATTCATGTATTTCTCAATGGCTGAGCGGGCAGTAAGTTACTATGACCAGTTATCCGAAACATAGCTGCTAACTAGCTACTCTAGCACTACCTCCGTCCCATAATATAAGAAAACTTTTCAAGCTATGTTTAGCTTGAAAAACGTTCTTATATTATGGGACGGAGGGAGTAATTCATAAGTTAATAAGTATACCTGAATAAATCTAGAGTTATTTCGCGTAAAGAATCCTGAACTTCTCGGGATCGGAGATTTTTTTGTAGTACTCCCTCTAAAGAAATATTAGAGTGTTTATAGATAACTAAAGTAGTGATCTAAACGCTCTTATATTTCTTTACGGAGGGAGTAATTCGGTAGCACAAAAGACTATTTAGTAAAGAAACGCATATCATTGGTCATGAATTTTCGAAGTATTGAAGAAAAGAGGTTGTCCTTCAGTGACATAGAAGAACTAAAGCTTATTGTCACAATAAATTATGGCACTAGGGAGGGGACGACAAATGAACCATGTACACAAAGAGTTTAATGTTTAACCGCACTTTCTCAGTTATGAGGCAGTATATATAGCTTCCTCCTTTTTGGTTAAGCATTATTCCTTGATGGGTAACTGAATTCTTTCTGGAGCATATATACCTGCTAGTATGAGATCTTGAACAAAGGCTTATCTGCTGTTTCCTTGGCTCAGGGTGTGAAGGGCAGCAATCCAGATTTGGCTCCAACCGATATTGCAAAGAAGCTTGGCGAGATTTGGCAAAAGATGTCAAGTAATATTCTAAACTACAGTATATATTACTCCGTTATGTGCCCTAATGCATTTTCCTCCCGCACGTGTAACATATATCAGTTGCGTTCACAAACACAAGAAAATCCTCGTGCTCATGATTTCCTTGCTCTCCCTGTCATGACCAGCCGAAGACAAGCAACCTTACATTCTGCAGTCTCAAGCCGACAAGAAGCGGTACGAGAAGGAATCTGCTGCCTACCGCGCTGCTGCCCCAGTGGACGTGGACGCCGGGTCCGGCAATGGCTCTGACTAGAAGAATCTCACACTTGTGCACTCAGCAGTCGACACGATCGATGAATCTGTAAATCACCGTAGGGCAGTTTGAACAAGATGACCGAGCATCTGTAGATCGCCACAGTGCAGTTTGAACAAGAACACACATGCTAACATGAACCTGCATACCGTGAGGGGGCTACTTATGGGTCTTTTCTTTTGAGAGGTAAAGGGAGGCTGTACTTATGGGTCTTTGTGTACGCGTTCGTTTTTTTTTGGAGACAAGTGAACGCATTCGGTTTTTTTTTGAGGGATGAAAGACTTTATTCATTCATCGAAAACCACAGTTTGTGGGATACAAAGAGGATTATGGGGATTAATAAGCCACAGGTGGCGCCCCTTAGCTAAGGAAAGCGAAAATTTAGCTAAACTATGAGCATCTCCGTTCGAACGGCGCCCTTCAAAAACTAACTGACAATTAAAACTCGAGATTTTAGACTTGATTTCTAAGATCACCATGCCATAAGGACCCATACTGTTGCTGGATATATCTTTGACCACTTGTCTTGCGTCAGACGCCACTATCAGATTATGAACTGATAAATCCTCAGCTAGTGCTAAAGCTTCTCTGCAGGCCAAACATTCAAGAATTGCCGCATCGTGCATTCCTTCAACCACCAGTGCTGAGCTCCCCAAATAGTTTCCCCGGTCATCATGGCATACAGCCATTGCTGCACCTCTCCCATGGCGTTTAGATACCCCCGCATCGACGTGGATTTTGACGAAACCTGCCGGCGGAGCCTTTGGCCTTACATTGCCCCTTACTGCTGTTCTGGTTGTCGCATATACTGGCGTTGCATGGTTGTTTTCCTTGACTATTTCCAGATCAACCAGGTAGCGGTTGATGAATGCGTGAGTCGCATGAGGACTCTGGAAGATGCCTTCGTGAATTGCCTTTCTCCTTGCTGTCCACGTTGCCCAAAGTGTTACTGCCAGTTTTACAAAGACTTCATGCGGTAATGATCGTATTAATGAAAACAACCACTGTTTGGCGCTCAACTCGCCTGATTCCCTCAGTTGATCCGCTAGTTCCGCATCCGCGAGTGCCCATATGCACCTAGACATAGAGCAGTCAAGAAGCGAGTACCTCCAAGAATCTTGTGCACCGCACAAACCACATGAGCTTGAAGTTGCCATGTTTCGGTGTTCTCTGACATCTTCCATGGGTAATGAGTGCCTGGCGAGTCTCCAGAGGAACATCCTTATTTTTGCAGGAACGCTGACATGCCATATTGATTTCCAAGAGCTCTTTTCTTGCTGTATATTCGAAGTCCCTGCTGTTCCTTCTAACCAAGCTTCTCTTCTTTGCTTTGTTGCTACCAGCATATTATACGCAGAGACGCCATTCTTCTCAAAGTTCCAGCACCAGCAATCTGAGAGATTCATAGTGCATAAAGGGATGCTAAGAACATGAGGAATATCTATAGGCAGGAGGACTTCTCTGATCCGCTGGATGTTCCAGCACGCCGCCGTGCTATCAATTAGTTCAGAAACATTTGCCGGGGGGTTTGCCAATCTACTTCCATAAGGTCTCATAAATTCCTCTTTTGGGATCCAATTATCGTTCCAGATATTAGTACTTGCACCATTACCTATCCTTCTAATCAAACCTTGTTTTAATATATCTCTCCCTTCAACAATTGCCCTCCAGATTTGGCTCGGATGGCTACCGATGTTGGCTTCAAGAATCGTTGTATTTGGGAAGTAAATTTCTTTCAGAATTCGTGAGCTCAATGAGTCTGGATTTTGCAAAATTCGCCATGCCTGTCTAGCGAGCAAGGCTAAGTTAAACAACTCAAAATCCTTAAATCCCAGTCCTCCCATGTCTTTGGGTTGGGTCATATCCTTCCAGGAAACCCAGTTTGGCTTACGCTTGCCATCTCTACTCCCCCACCAGAATTTGCGGACTAGCATGTTCAAGTGTTCACATAGCCCCCTCGGCAGCTTGAAACACGACATTGAGAAAACTGGGACGGCCTGCGCAACAGATTTGACCAGAACTTCTTTCCCCGCCATGGACATTGTTTTCTCGATCCACCCTTGGATTTTATTCCACAGACGGTCCTTGAGATATCTGAATGCCCCATTCCGAGATGAGCCCACATCCGATGGCATTCCAAGATATTTCTCATTAAGTGTCTCATTGGGCACATGCAATTGCCCTTTTATTTCTGCTCGAACACTTTCCGTGACCCCTTTGCTAAAGAATATTGACGATTTCTCAAAATTAATTCTTTGCCCCGTTGCTTGACAGTAAGTATCCAATAGTTGGTGCACCTCCGATGCTCCCTCTATATTTGCTTTGAAGAACAACAGGCTGTCATCTGCGAAGAGTAAGTGGTTAACGGGTGGCGCCGAAGAAGCCACTTGTATCCCACCAAGGTTTGATGACTGTTGTCTTGATTTAATCAGGCACGAAAGGCCCTCTGCTGCCAACAAAAACAAGTAAGGAGAGATTGGGTCCCCTTGTCGGATGCCACGGGTGGGTTTGAACGGTTGAAGCCTCTTCCCATTGAACATCACAGAAAAACTGACAGATGTGATCATCCCCATTACAATATCTACCCACCTTGCCGAGAAGCCCAATTTCAGCATGATGGATTGCAGATAAGACCACTCTACTCGGTCATAAGCCTTCGTCATATCCAGCTTCAAGGCACCATGTTGATTTTTCTTAGCTCTATTTCTCTTCATAAAGTGCAGACATTCATATGCTGTGATAATGTTGTCAGTAATCAACCTGCCAGGGACAAAGGCAGACTGTTCCTCTGATATGATATCTGGTAAGATTACCTTCAGACGGTTGGAGATGACCTTGGATGCAATTTTGTAGAGAACATTACACAGACTTATTGGCCAAAACTGTGACAGAAGTGTCGGGTTCTTTACCTTTGGGATTAGGACCAAAAGGGTGTCATTAATGCACTCTGCTGATTCCTTTCCTTCCACTATTAATATCACTGCCTTCGTTACTTCTTCTCCACATATTTCCCATTGCCGCTGAAAGAAGTGTGCCGGGAAACCGTCCAGGCCCGGTGCCTTTAACGGAAACATCTAGAAAAGGGCCCTCTTCACTTCCTCCTGGGTGTACGGAGCATTTAGTGTTTCATTCATCTCGTCAGTTACCTTGCGCGGGACCGTATCCAGGACATGGTCCATATTCTGCACCCCCTCCGAGCTGTACATGTTGTCATAGAAGGCAGTAGCGGCCTCTTCCAACTCCCGCTTATCATGCGTTATTCTGACATCTGGAAGTTGAAGGGATTTTATCTGGTTTTTCCTGCGCCTCCTACTCGCCCGGAGATGAAAGAAATAAGTGTTTTTATCACCGTGTACCAGCCAATCTAACCTTGCTCTTTGACGCCATAAAATTTCCTCTCGGTGATATAATTCAACCAGCCTGTCAGCTATCTTTGTTTCCAAGTGCGTTGGGGCATATCTGCTCGGATCTGAACATAAAATATCCAGCTGCTTTTTCAGTTCGCTGATCTCCCGTTTGACACTGCCGAAGTGATTGCGTTCCCATGCAGACAAATCGTCCGACAACAGCGACAACTTGCCTTGGATTCCCGCCACACTCTCGACTGGTTTATCTTTCCAGCCTGTCTCCACTACCCCGACCAGGTCCGGGTGGCGTTCCCATGCGAGTTCGTATTTAAAGGGCTTGGGCCCCTTCCTGCATGCATGCACGTGGTCAAGTCGCAAGAGCAAAGGTGCATGATCCGATGAAGCTGCTACCTTGTGTTCCAACTCTGCCTGAGGGAATGCCAACATCCAGTCCGGCGTTGCGACGCACCTATCCAAACAGACTCTCATAAACGTGCCACCGGTTACCTTTTTTTCAAAGGTCCAGCTATTTCCAGTATACCCAATGTCCACAAGGCCGCATATATCAATCGCATCTCTGAAAGCATCCATCTGGGCCTGGCTGCACTGACCAACCCCGCCGTGTTCATGTGCATGCAAAACTTCATTGAAGTCACCAATCACTGCCCATGGAAGGATGCTTTGCGTTGCAATTCCCGTGAGCATATCCCATGTCTTATATCTTTCTGGCACCCGCACTTCACCATACAAAAATGTCACTCTGCTCTTTGTGTCACCAAAATCTGTTGGAAATATGCCCTAGAGGAAACTCAGATACATGTGTGGATACATAGACAACACCATGTCCCTAGTAAGCCTCTAGTTAACTAGCTCGTTGATCAATAGATGGTTACGGTTTCCTGACCATGGACATTGGATGTCGTTGATAACGGGATCACATGATTAGGAGAATGATGTGATAGACAAGACCCAATCCTAAGCATAGCACAAGATCGTGTAGTTCGCATGCTAAAGCTTTTCTAATGTCAAGTATCATTTCCTTAGACCATGAGATTGTGCAACTCCCGGATACCGTAGGAATACTTTGGGTGTGCCAAACGTCACAACGTAACTGGGTGGCTATAAAGGTGCACTACGAGTATCTCCGAAAGTGTCTGTTGGGTTGGCACGAATCGAGACTGGGATTTGTCACTCCGTGTAAACGGAGAGGTATCTCTGGGCCCACTCGGTAGGACATCATCATAATGTGCACAATGTGACCAAGGAGTTGATCACGGGATGATGTGTTACGGAATGAGTAAAGAGACTTGCCAGTAACGAGATTGAACAAGGTATCGGGATACGACGATCGAATCTCGGGCAAGTATCATACCGCTAGACAAAGGGAATTGTATATGGGATTGATTAAGTCCTTGACATCGTGGTTCATCCGATGAGATCATCGTGGAACATGTGGGAACCAACATGGGTATCCAGATCCCGTTGTTGGTTATTGACCAGAGAACGTCTCGGTCATGTCTGCATGGTTCCCGAACCCGTAGGGTCTACACACTTAAGGTTCGATGACGCTAGGGTTATAAAGGAAGTTTGTATGTGGTTACCGAATGTTGTTCGGAGTCCCGGATGAGATCCCGGATGTCACGAGGAGTTCCG